TTCAGATTTATCTTGAAGTACAATGTTGTTTGTGATAGGATAATATCCATGCATCTAAAAGAAAGACCAGTTAATACCACGATTATTCAAACTGATGCACCAACTACTAAAGTCAGTGATGATGACATTAAAGATTTTGATCAACTTCTTCAGTCTGAAATTGATCAAACCATGCAATCAAGATGCATTGATAATTACTGGAAATTGGAACATGAAAATTGGAAACAAAGAGGGAGGATCAGTAGTTGGAAAATATGGCCTTGGTGATAGAAAGATGCTTAAGATCACAAGATAGAATTTTGTAGAATCAATGACTTATTTATTACAAATACATTTTCCAAACAACATTAATGGTAACTGAACACGTGGACCTCACCAGATGGAATACACGAGAATTAAATTGACTACATGTGTGGGAAGAGATGATGGAGAAGCTCAGTATCATCAACCAAAACAAGGTCAGGGACAGACTGTGGAAAGACAATGAACTGCTCATATTCAAGTTCAGATTGAAGCTGAAGAAAATTAAACCAAGTCCATGATAGCCAAAATATCACCTTAAGTGTATGCCACCTTAACGCAGAGACTATCTCAAGAAAAGATTTGTGCATCAGACATTAATGAATAATCAAAGACCAGAGGAGCTGTGGGATGACATCAAGAGCATTACACAGGAAGAAAGCAAAAGGTCATTAAAAAGATAGGAAAGAAAGAAAAAGACCAGAATGGATGTCAGAAGAGACTCTGAAATTTGCCCTTAAGCATAGAGAAGCTAACTAAAGTGACTAGTAGAAATGATGAACATAAAGAGCTGAACTGAAAAGTTCAAAAGGCAGCTCGAGAAGACAGAAGTTGAGTATTATAGTGAAATATGCCTAGACCTGGAGTTAGAAAACCAAAAGGGAAGAACACGCTCAGCATTTCTTAAGCTGAACGAAATGAAGAAAAAATTCAGGCCTTGACTTGAAAAAGTAAAGGATTCTATTGACAAAATACTGAATGATGCAGAAAGCATCAAAAGAAGATGGAAGGAATTCAGGGAATCACTATACCAAAAAGAAACGGTCAATGTTCAACTTCAAGAGGCAACATGTGATCAAGAGTCAATGGT